TTCTTCTTCTTCTTCTTCTTCTTCTTCTTCTTCTTCTTCTTCTTCTTTTATAACAAACACAGGGGAATTCCATGAGCTGGTAGACTCTTCTATATGTTGGGCCTCTAGCTGCTCTTGTACCAGCTGTTCAAGTGTCTGTGATTTTTCTACAGGAAAGGGCTTGTCAGTCAATGATTTTAAGGGCCAGTGGGATTTTACCAGTGTCCTCCCTTATAAATTTAGAAACTCAATCCCTATGATGTCCTGTGTTTGGACAATGAAAAAAGACTGTGATTTTTTTTTTGTTTTGATGACACATATCAATACCTTCCCCAGGAGCATCTACCATTCCCCCCATAATTTTATCATGAGCTGTCTCTGGGATTGCAGAGTCCCTCATTTCCATAAAAAAAAAATCCCTTCCCCATAAATTTTTGGGTATGTCAGCCACATAAGGCCTCAGTTTCCCTGTTTGTCCTTCTGGTATCACAGATTTAATCTATCGTATACTTTTTTTTGAGATAATTTACCAATTTCTATAAACTTCTGAAGTAGCCTTTCTGAACTCCAGGGTTTTGGGGAAATGATAATGATATCAAGCTTCTGTAGCCACCAAAACTTTCATTTCAACATCGTTAACTTGCAATTTTAATTTTGGTCTCTGATTATCAATCATTGTCTGCCAGAACACATCTTTTCCAGTACTCCCCCATTCCTCTGTTCTTTCTACTTTGTAGTTAATATAGGAAAACAATAGCATCTGTTAAATTTTATCTTTTGCATTAATTTGCATCTCACTTTTTACATATGGCATAATTTTAATTTTTCCTTTGAACTCCCCATCTATAATAGCTGGATTCACAGTGAATCCTTTGAAAGTTAATACATTTCTTCCGCAGATTATCACTACTGTTGCTGAAAGCAAAGGACGATAAATACCAGTGGTTACCTTGTAACTTTGCATTTCTGGGGATAGGATAAGAGGTTTATCTGTAGCCAAATCAAGAGCATCCTGCCTTCAGTGGTGTGCATAGATCAGCAATACTTGGATGGAGCTTTTTCTGCCTGCTTGTTATCTCCCAGCTGACCAGAGAGAAATGGCTCATTTTTGTTTAAAGGTGGTGCCTAGAGCTGGCAGGTTGCCATTTCTCTTCCCAACAGCAAGATATTACCTTGAACATTGCTCATGGACCTGGACTCATTGGTCCAGTGACATCCCTTGCCACAACTTTGGCAAACCACAGGGAAGCGCAGGGATTCTTTGCAAAAGCCTATTGCTTCCAGAAAAACCGTATTTACTTCTCTTGTGGAACAGTACCATATTTCTTACCCCACTAGACATTTTGAGATCTGAGGTTTTTAGTGGCTTGGTCACAATTTATTGATAAGTGGCCAAATTCATCACAATTAAAACACTGGACATGTTGATATCGGAGACCTTTAACTATAGTTTGTCCTATGATATTGACATGATGATTGTAAGAGGCAATGTTAGTCGTGTCTTTTATCCACTTGTCCATTGATGCTGTTCATTCCTTTAATGGCCTAATTACTGTTTTACATTCAGTATTCACATTCTCAAATGCAAAGGTCTTTATTAACAGCTGTTTCACAATAGAGTCTGATATGGCTTTGTTTACAGCTGAAACCAATATTTGGAAAAAAAAAATCTGTGAAGGCTTCCACAAAGCCTTGAACAATCTTAGTAAATGAAGTGGACCATTTTTCTGGGTTCCTCAACTTTATCCCCAGCTCTTACAGCCACCAAGCAACATCATTGTATAAAGGCATGATGAAATCAAATCCGTTCTTGTAGGTCAGAATACCTCCCACCACCAAGCAATTGATCTTTAACAATATTCATTTCCCTTGTTTTATTTCATTGTTCAGTATTCGTGGCTTCCTACTTCCATCACATTAACCATTGTTACTGCTGACTAGCCACTGGTACAGCTGTTACCAGACCTTTCGAGTCTTGGGAATAACTCTATTTTGGGTGGGCCAGTTACTCAATATCTGTTTCACCGGAGGAAAATGTATTCCATAGGAAACAACAGTATCTTTAAAACATGTCAGAGCTATCATCTCATCATAATTATGGTTAGCACCATTAGCAGGCATATGCTGTACAACTACTAGGAAATCCAATAGTGATTTTGTAATCCCAGGCTACTCCTCCTCTTTCAGTGCAGTTGGCTCAACATTTACCCTTTCTCTCAAAGCAGTCTGTTTTTCTTTAACCCTGTGACACAGCACAGCCTCTTTCTCCTCCTAGCCTCCTACCCCACCCAGGAGCTGCAGGGATTTGAAACCAAAAGTACACAGAGCAGGGCAGGACCAAGAGCTGCCTTTGAGCCCAGTTTGCTTTCTTCTTTCATCCTGTAGGAAACTCCCACTTCTTGCCCAGTCACTGGCTCAGTCAGCCTTTATTCCTCCCTTTTCCAGCACTATTTGCTTTCCAAGCACTTCCACCTCTACCTATGACCTCTCTGTTTGTACAGCCAAACTGCTCAACTATTCTCCCAACTGTTTTTGAGACAGAATATATGAAGAAGGAAGAGGTGGAGGAGGAGGAGAAGGGAAAACAGAAAATTCTCTCTAAGAGCAAAGTGGAAGAGAACTCAGCAGGAGCAGCCTTAATAAATTTTTTTCTGATGTCCTGAAACAGAATATTCATCCCTTCTTCCCTTGCTACTTCCTGTACACATTTAGAAATCAAGTTTCCCATTCTGCCTAGCAACACGTCTGGGTGCCACTTGTAGCTATGTGGTTTTTGGCTATCAGTGCCTTAAAAATGTAATGGAATTCCATCTTTTCTAGGCAGCCATTAAATGAAGTGTTTATAATTGGTGGTTTGTGAATAGTATCTATCCTAAAGTCATATGAAGCCTGTATGCTTATCGTAGAGAGAATTATGAAATAGAAAATCTTAAATGGCAAATCTTCAAATAAATATTCTATGCTTACTGGGTTGTTTAATTTATCTAATTGTGATTTTAAGTATTGTGATTTAAAAACATGTTTCTATTCTTGTATTCTTTTATTTTTTGAAATTAATATTACATAATTTCCCCCTTTCCTTTTCTCCCTCCAAATCCTCTCACATACTCCTCCTTTTTCAAATTCATGCCCCCTTTTAAAACTGTTGTTACATGCATATATATTTTTAGATAAATAAAATCTGTTCAGTCTGTAGAACATTACTTATGTGTATATGTTTTCAGGGCTGATCATTTGCTGTGATTTTCCCCAGGGAAGACTATTTCTCTTACTCTTAGCATTGCTCAGTTTCCTGTTGTTCTTCACGTAGTATTGTGCTAAGGCCTTGTGATCTTTCCCTCCATTCACGTTGGTATGTCTATTGCTATCCTTGTTCTGCTCAAGTTTAGGCAGTCATGTTGGTGAGAGTTCTGGCATTACTAGTCTCATAGGCACAGCAAACTCCCTAATTCCCTGGCTCTTAGAATCTTTCTGTACTCTCTTCTGCAATTGTCCCTGAAATTTAGGTACAGAGATAATATTATGGATGTATTTCTTGGGACTGGGCTCCATAACTTCATTTTGGTTGGTTATGGTTTTCTGTAAGGGTCTATGACTATTACCAAGAAAAGTTTCTTTGATGAGTGGTGAGGACTACAGTAATCTGTAGATATAAGGACAAGTATTTAAAATGCAATTAGAAGTTTCGCTGGTTTAGTACAGTGGCAGTTATAGGTTCCCTTCCAAGATCTATGACTTCACTGGTCTTGTGTAGTTGTCTAGGTAATAAAAATTAATAAAATATTTTAAAGTGGTCTTGTGTTGTATCTCCATTATAGATTATACCAGCATTATACAATTATACATAGTATTCTCTCAGTTGTATTAAGATTTTTTATAGAATTTTATAAATATAATATAATGTAATAAAATTTAGTTATAGTAAGAGAGACATAGTCAAAACATCTCCCTTGATAAAATTACACTGTGACCTAAAGCAGCTGTGGGTATCAAGCCCTGTTTGTATACCACTTGTATGTTCAGGTTTCTTCCTCTTCAGGCCCTAATGCTGAGTGAGCTTTTGGGGAAATCTACTAAGTAAAGGAGTAGGGTCTAAGGTGACCAGATGAGGCTTAGAAGGTAACTAAGTGTCAGTGACTTGATTAAATAGAGAAGGTTTTGCTCAACAGGAGCAAAGCCTCTTTGTGTGAAGCTGCTTAATCATGTAGAGTTTAAAGTATGTACTCAGGGATGGGGTGTAGCTGAAGGTGTGGAGTGGCTGCTTAGCATAGGAGAGGCTCTTTCCATTTCAGCATCAAACAGACACAGATGTAAAGGAAACGAAAACACCGTTCTGCCCGTTCTGGGCCTTTAAACTGTCAGTTGAGATGATTTTCTTGGGATGTGTGTATCCCTCACTGTTGTTAAGAGTAACCATCTCTATTTCATCCTCTGCAGCCCCCAATCACTTTGACCATGAAATCTTTGTATTTTATTGTAATGAATAAAAAATATTTCAGTTTTAATAGCAATAATGTATAATGTGCCTTTAGTTTCCATTTAATTCTGTTTCCCACTAAACAATCATACCCTCAATTGTTCAGATGTAGCTATCCACAAGAGCAAAAATGGAACTTAGTTTTTGGCCCTAAGCCTGTCTTTTTTTCATCTATTCCAGGTTGGCTTCACGAGCTGGGGAAGAGACTGGAATCTCCATACTACGGCAACAACACGCTGGGGGGCCCGTCCATCCGGAGTGCCTACATTGCAGCCTTGTATTTTACTCTTAGCAGCCTCACCAGCGTTGGTTTCGGGAATGTGTCTGCTAACACAGATGCAGAGAAGATCTTCTCCATCTGCACCATGCTGATTGGAGGTGAGGGATCTTTTTCTGGAGCAAGAAATTAAAACTCCAAGGAACAAGTAATTTGCATTCTTCATTGTTTTAAATATCCCATGTTTGAATGCTTCGATACAGTACTGGGTAGTTCTTGAGGCAGGTCAGTGAGGTCAGCACTATTCCATTTAACCAATATGATGTTGTACCATTTTCCCCAAACCCCAGACTCACTCTACAATATTCTGCTTTAAAAATCTGGGGTTTGACCTTTGCCATTCTGATGGGTGTAAGGTGGACTCTCAGTGTCGTTTTGATTTGCATTTCCCTAATGACTAAGGATGTTGAGCATTTCTTTAAGTGTTTCTCTGCCATTCGATGTTCCTCTATTAAGAATTCTCTGTTTAGCTCCATACCCCATTTTTTATTGGATTACTTGATTTTTTGTTGTTTAACTTCTTAAGTTCTTTATATGTTCTGAATATTAGCCCTCTGTCAGATATAGGGTTGCTGAAGATCCTTTCCAAGTCTGTAGACATTCGTTTTGTTTTGACAACAGTGTCCTTTGCTTTACAGAAGCTTTTCAGTTTCATGAGGTCCCATTTATCAATTGATGGTCTTAGAGCCTGTGCTGTTGATGTTCTGTTCAGGAAGTTGTCTCCTGTGCCAATGAGTTCAAGGCTCTTCCCCACTTTTTCTTCTAACAGGTTTAGTGTGTCCATTTTTATATTGAAGTCTTTGATCCACTTGGATTTTTGTTTTGTGCAGGGTGATAAGTATGGATCTATTTGCATTTTTCTACATGTAGACATCCAGTTAGACTGGCACCATTTGTTGAAGATGCTATCTTTTTTCCATTGTATGGTTTTGGCATCTTTGTCAAAAATCAGGTTTCCATAAGTGTGTGAGTTTATTTCTGGGTTTTCTCTTCTATTCCACTGATCCACCCATTATGTTTCTATGCTAGTACCATGCAGTTTTTATTACTGTTGCTCTATACTACAGCTTGAAGTCAGGGATGGAGTGACAACACATGCTGAAGAGGATGTGGAGAAAAAGGAACCCTACACCATTGCTGGTGGGAACTTGTACAGCCACTTTGGAAATCAATCTGGCGCTTTCTTAGACAATTAGGAATAGTGCTACCTTAAGATGCAGATATACCACTCCTAGGCATATATCCAAAAAAGGCTCAAGTATACAACAAGAACATTTGCTTAACCATGTTTGTATCAGCTTTATTCGTAACAGCCAGAATCTGGAAACAACCCCGATGTCCCTCAGTTGAGGAATAGTTACATAAATTGTGGTACATTTACACGATGGAATACTACTCAGCAATTAAAAGCAAGGAAAACATGAAATTTGCAGGCAAATGCTGGGAACTAGAAACGACCACCCTGACTGAGGTATCCCAGAAGCAGAAACACTCACAGGGTATATACTCACTTATAAGTGGATATTAGACATACTATGTAGGATGGTCATACTAAAATCTGTATACTTAAGGAAGCTAAGCAAGAAGGAGGACCCTGGGTAAGATGTTTAATCTTCATTCAGAAAGGCAAACAAGATAAACATTGGAAGAGGGAGAAAACAGCGGATAGGTCAAGAGCCTATCACAGAGAGCCTCTGAAAGACTCTACCCAGCAGTGTATCAAAACATATGCTGAGACTCAATAGCCAAATTTTGGACAGAGTGCAGGGAATCTTATGAAAGAAGGGGGAGATAGAAAGACCTGGAGGGAATAGGAACTCTAAAAGGAGAGCAACAGAACCAAAAAATCTGGGCTCAGGGGTCTTTTCTGAGAGTGATACTCCAAACAAGGACCATGCATGGAGATAACCTAGAATCCTGCACAGAAGTAGCTCATAGCAACTCAGTGTCCAAGTGGGTTCCCCAATAATAGCAACAGGGACAATCTCTGACATGAACTCATGGGCTGGCTCTTTGATCATCTCCACCTGAGTAGGGAACATCCTTACCAGTCCACAGAGGAAGACAATGAAGCCAGTCCTGAGACCAGATAGACTAGGGTTAGATGGAAGGGGAGGTGGACCTCCCCTATCATTGGACTGGGAGAGGGTGAGTGGGATGGGAAGATTATGGGGTAGGGGGCTACAGCTGGGATACAAAGTGAATAAACTGTAATTAATATTTTAAAATATATGTATCTGGGGTTTGACTCCACGAACCTTTCTTCTTTGGCAGCCAACTTCCCTTACCAGTAGGGGGCCAGTAGGGGGCGCCAGTGAGAGCTGATAGGCAGGAAGAAGGGCAAAGCTCTTTCTGCTCTTGGGTTGCAGGCTTTCCTTCAGGTAGACAGCCTTGCCCCAACAACAGTGACAGCTTTCAGCTTCCAGTCTCCAGACATGCCTAAGAGACCTCTGCATTCTGAGTGTGCTACCACTCCTCAGGTCACTGTTAACGCTGTCTGGTAACCTCCCTTAATTACATCCTGAGACCTCCACAAGTCAGCATTACTGCTCTAGCCCTTTGCTGCCAGTAAAACCAGCTCTCTGCAACACGCCCTTCTTAAAGACGTAACATAATCTGAAATGACAAAATTGATGCAGCATTGATAAGTATTGTTGCTGACACCTTTCAAATGACTCATTAGAAGCTTTTGGGAATTAAGGTAAGGGGGCAAAGTCTGAACCTACTTGAATATTTCTCTTTTTCAATACATAGAGGTAAAGTCTACAGAACAGCATACCTGAAGCAGAAGCATGGTAAGTGTCCCGCCCCACGGGACTTAGTTATTCGTGGGGGCAAAGGGGGTCAATCCTGAAAAAGATGGGGGAGAGAGAGAAAGGACACAAGCAGACGGTTGCCGGTCAAGTGTCAGCTTTATTGAACTTTGGTGTTTCTTTTAAAACATGGTTTTGGCAGGGCAGGGGAGAGGGGCGAGAAAGGGAAGTAGTAGTGGAAAAATACCAAGGCCCTTGGTGGGAAGTTCCCAAGGCTTAAGAAGGTGGATTAAAGAGTTACAAGGCCCGAAGATAACATTGGTGGTCACATCAGTGGTCACGGATGTGTCCCAAAGCAAACAGTTTCGGGAACAATGGGTCGTAAGAAGCTATGGCCTGCTGGCGCCCGGTGCTTATCTGGCAGGTCAGGCCCTTAGGAAGGGTCCCAGGGCTTTGTTCCCAACATCTCCTCCCCTTTTGTCTTTTAAAAGAGGAGGGGGAGGCCTCTTAGGACTCTCAGCGATTTTATAAACAGTTTGGGAATTTTATAGGTCCGGGGGCTCACGTTTACAAAGATTCGGTGACTCAGGTCTCACGGCAATCGTAGGCAGACCTAGGCCATTTCTGGTACAATGGGAAGAATCCCTCAGAGTGCAAGGCCCTAGGTATGTTAGCCGTCTTGATTATGTGAGAAAAGTTATTTGTCACAAACGGCACAAACGGGGTCTGAGTCTGTTAGAAGAGTGGTGCTGGACCCTTACCTGTCATTGGATCGGCCTCCTCTGGGCGAGGTCGTCCTGTCTTAGGTGGGCCGAGACTTATCCACTCGTTCCGTCTCTGACTTGCCAGACCACTCACTTTGTGGTAGTGTAACGTGTTTGTTTTCCCGATAGGACCTATTTATCGCTTGGTTTTTAAGCAATTATATAAAACAAGCCAATCATTGCGCCAATTAATGAGAGTCAAAAAAGCCCAGGTCTAACTGGAAGAGCGGCCCCAGAACTTCCATCTCGGGCCAGGAGATACTAGGGTGGAGAAATCAAGGGGGCGGGAGGCCGGGGCATCAGGTGGAAGCTCCACGGCAGATTCTTCTTCCCCAGCCAGACGATGGTAGTGGACTCCAACAGGCTTGATTGCGGAGCTCACCTGGTTCTTAACAAAGTTTGTGAGACGATTAAAGGCCCAAGGGCCAAAAGAGAGAAGCAAAAGGATACCTACAAAAGGTCCTAGCAGACTGGGAAGCAGAGTGGTTAGCCATGGGGATGTGGAAAACCAATTTTGATACCAGGACTCTTGTATCTCTCTGTTCCATTTTCGTTCCTCCAAACTGGAGCAAACCTTATCGATACTGCCTTGCACTAAACCTGTTTTGTCAGTGTAAAAGCAGCATTCTTCCTTGAGCACAACACAGAGTCCACCTTCCTGGAGAAAAACCAAATCTAGACCGCGCCTGTTTTGTAAAACTACCTCAGATAAGGACACCATAGAATCTTTTAGGTCCTGTAAGCCTTTTTGCAAATCTTGTAGGTCTTTGTCCACTGCTAGGGAGAGTTGATTAAATTGTTGCTGGGAAGTAATTAGGGAGGCTATGCCTGTACCAGCTCCAGCGGCTCCAAGCCCTAGAATTACAGTTAGAGTAATGGCAGTTAAGGGCTCACGTTTAACTCGAGATGGACTTACCCCTTTTTCCCAAAACCGAAGGAACTCATCCTTAGAATGTATAGTCAGCCTTGGGAAAAGCCGTACAAGGCCACAGGGATTGACCCGAAGATGGGAAGTAGGCAAAAGGACAACACAAGAAGGACATTGTTTAAACAAGTCAGCTTTATAATTACCTTAGTTAAAGGTCCTGGAAGGTTAGAATGAGCTTGTAAATGTCCAATGTAAAAGGAAAAGTTTTTTTTATATCAAATTTTGAATTTGTAAAAATAATTTTAGCAGGAGAAGATGTTTAAATTTAATTTGCAGTCTCTAACCTAGGCAAAGACTAAGCTACATAGGCACTATCTGTAAAAATGTTTAAAGACTGTTTATTGAAACTTTAAAACACAGCCAATACTGCAGGTAACTGTTATTTGCACAGATGTGCTAGACACTTGAAAAGATGCATCAACAGGTTGGACTTTGTCATAATAAGCTTACGTATGTTAAAATGCCATATTTATTAGATCTCTGACAAGCTTGAGGGCCAGCATATTTGAGTTACTCTTTATCTTTATCGTCTGCTCTAAACTGTGTAAAAAAAAAAAAAAAAAAAAACTAAACAAAGACACTAGGTATAGCTTAACATCTTAACCAACTGTAGTTGTTAGCATAACTTTAAATCTGTTCTTTTTGAACTAAAATTA